TATCCCGCCTATCTAGTCAATTAAGACCACTCTAGGCAGGCCTGCGGTATCTGTGGAATCAGTACTTGTGGTTTCAGTTGTCCTCAGCCTGAAAATATTAAATAACCCCCTGCCAAAAAAAGTGTTTCCAATGTGTATTACCAGTACCAGCTACTAGATGGAAACACAGACTATGCTATATACCAGGTTTCAGTACCAGTGCTTTTCAGCATCCTTGGGGGCAGGTGGGCAGGGAGGGCTTGGAACTGATCTCCTACAGATACTGAAGTCCTACTGTATGAATTATGGATGCCCTTCAGTATACAGTTTGGAACAGTTACTCCCCACCCATCCCCATCCCTAGACTGTCTGAGAATTACCTGACTGTAACATTACCAAACTCTGATTCAGTGTCAGTAGAAAAATTGCCCCTTTGAGAAAAATGTCCCCTGTCCAGCATTGTTCCACTGGGATCTAGGGGAGCAATATTTGAATAAAATCAGTGCTCATTGTGATCAGTGAAGGCTGTGTCATAGATAATGTGGCTGATGGAGTTATGTAATAGCTATTAGTTATTTGCTCATAAAGCAAGCAATCAAGTTCTTGGGAACCAAAAGCAGAATGGAAATAATTGTGTCTTGTTCCTGTCCTAAGGTATCAATTGAACCTGTTTGCAAGGATGTGCTTGGACCGTCAATATTTAGCCATAAACCAGATTTCTACCCAGCTCTCAGTAGATCTGATCCTGCGCTGCATGTCAGATGAAAGCCTGCCTTATGACCTGCGTGCCTCTTTCTGCCGCCTCATGTTGCATATGCATGTGGACAGAGATCCTCAGGAGACAGTGGTGCCTGTGAAGTATGCCAGGCTGTGGACTGAAATTCCCGTCAAGATCACTATCCATGAGTAAGTTATATTTTGAAACCAACCAAGTCATTCATTGATTGTTATTAGGTGAACTGAAACAGAACACATAGTCTTTCCTGGGGGGGGGGAGGGTTTCATTAGGTATAATTCAGAATTCACTGCTGCAAGATGAGTGAATGCCCACCATGTGAACTGGTTTTTAAGAAAGAACCCTGACCATGATTGCTAACCTACTCTGCCCATAACATTACTGGAACAGGTTTTTTGGCTTTTCCCATTCCTTTTTAAGGCTGCCTTGAGAACAGCCAATGGCTGAATGTAGTTCATGAGTGTGAGTGGCTACCCTAATATGATGGGCTTTTATCCAAAGTTTTTGCTTTGTGAATGAAAGAAATGTTGGATATATGGAATAGTTCCTCGTTTATACCCCATCAGAATTGACTCAGTGCCCTTCTTGTTCTATGATTCTAAGTCATTTGTTCTAATTCAGTCAGTTTTAAAATGTTGAGATCATACAATATTCTATGGATCTCTTGAGTAATCTTTGCATATACGCATTCCTTCAGAGCTAGGGCATTTATTTTGTGATAGGCGCAATGTTTCTAAAGTACATCAAACAGTGACTTAACATTGATCTAGTATTACTGAGTTAGTTCTATTTAGATTAAGATAGCAAAATGGTAATCAGTTAAAATGATAGATTTTATGGTGATGTTTGAACGGATGCTCAGGATACTACTTATTTTCCAAATTTCTCAGAAGTGTGTAGTTTAACAAGTCCATAAGAGATGCCAACAATCTTCTCTTTGCATCAAACATCTACCTTGGTAATTCATCAAAAATGGATCAAACATCTCCTGGCTCCTATTATATTCCATTCTTTCAGTGTTTACATATGCTCTTGCTTTGTAGGTATGATTCTTTCACAGATTCATCACGGAATGACATGAAGAGGAAATTTGCTTTGACAATGGAGTTTGTAGAAGAATACTTAAAAGAAGTTGTAAATCAGCCCTTTCCTTTTGGAGACAAAGAGAAGAATAAGCTCACTTTTGAGGTACTTTTGTCTCGTCCTGAATGTGACTGGATGTACAGTGGTACCTTGCAAGATGATGGCCCCTCTAAACAACAAATTCGCATAATGATGACTTTTTGTGATCACTATAGCGTTTCACAAAACAGTCATTCCAATGGGGGATTTTCGCTGGACGTTGATTATGTCTGTGCTTTGTGAAACGTTTGATCGCAAGACAATGATTTTTACAGCTGATTGTCGGCTTCGCAAAATGGCTGCCCTGTGTTTTCCGGACCCATGCGTCTCAGGACAGCCATTTTTACAGCTGATCAGCGCTCGCAAAATGGCTTCCCTATGGGTGATCTTCGCTGGACGACAAGGTATTTTCCCCATTGGAATGCATTAAACCAGGTTTCAATGCATTCCAATGGGGAAACGGATTTTGCACGACAACAATTTCGCTAAACAGCGATTTCAATGGAACAGATTATCGTTGTCATGCGGGGCACTACAGTATGTTTCCAGTTAAGGAGCAGCAGCAGAGTGTCAGCTAATTTAGCCATTGTTCTCTGTCCCTTCACCATTCCAGATGATGTTTTCCACTTGAGAAATAATCTGCATAATAACTTTTGTGAAGTAATTCTGATTTCTGCTAGTTAGTATTGTTACAGTGGTCTGGTTCAGTGTTGTGTTACTTGAGCAGTGTGGGGAACCACAGTGGTCTTCTTCTTATCCTTTGCTTAGTATTGTTACAGTGGTCTGGTTCAGTGTGTTACTCGAACAGTGTGGGGAACCACAGTGATCTTCTTCTTATCCTTTGCCTCTGAGATAATGTGTTATACCTTGGAGAATGTGCAATGTTTTCCCTTGTTCATGGAGAATATCTGGATACTAACCTTACAAACTCCTGCTGAAACTGGGTATCAAGTATTGCAGTTGTTACTATGAAGATTATCCAGTCTTTAAAACCATATTTCAGTGGCCAAAGGTGCTTACATAGCATTAACAGATGAGCTGTGTGCACTTCTGATTCTATACAAGTGTAGAGAAACATAGCCATGCCAGTGAAGATATGCTTGCAAGTGTATGGACAACATATAACAGAAAGCAGAAGTGGGCTTCAGTGGGATTTGTATTGGAGAGAGCTTAGAAACATTTTCTTTTTAGATTAAAACTCTCAGGATCCAAACCAGTTAATTTTCTTTCCTAGGGGTGGGAAGGCATTCTGACTGAACACCTTGGGGAAAAAAATAGCTGGTTTGGGTTCTAAGAGTTTTATGAATAGTGCTTTTGTACAAATGGATGAGGCAACCATATCTGCAACCTAAGGTGTACATTTCTGCTCACCCCTTAGAAAGGATATTATAGAGCCAGAGAATATTTCTAATTGGAAACAGGCACACAGGCTCACTAGACACTGTGCAGCAAGGGCTTTTCTTCGTGGTAGCATACAGGGACAATGTGTTTTGGGCTTGGTCAATTGCTTGAATTAATTTCACAATATCCTGAAGACATCTAAGAAATTTACTTTGCTTTACTTTAGGAATGCATGCATGCGAATCCATCATTAGTGCTGCATTCAGGTACTTTCTCACTCTTCATATTTCTTCTTCTTTTCCCTTCCCTTTAGGTAGTACATCTGGCTCGCAATCTGATCTACTTTGGCTTTTATAGTTTCAGTGAGCTCCTCAGGCTGACGAGAACACTGCTGGCTATTCTTGACATCGTACAAATGCCCATGTCATCTTATCTTGAAAGATTAAGCAAATTTCAGGATGGAGGTAAGTGGGAAAACAGCAGAAAATGTGTAGAAGCACATAATGCCATGCTTATTATTTCTCAGTGACTACCAGTCTCCATACTTGAAGATCTGGAGAAATGTCACTTGATGTTCAGTAATCATGACTGAAATGCCAAGTATATTTACATGTACATTCCACTGATTTCAGCTGCACTACACAGGATAGTAAGCAGAACTGGAGTTACTAGTGATTTCCGCTGTTCCCTCATTTATTGAGAGATCTTCCATCTGGGAACATACTCTGTCTTTTGATCTTTGGTACCATGTTTTCATGTCCCCCTGTTGACCTCAACGTGAGCACTAAACCCAAAAGCCTTATCTTGTTTTGTGTTTCCTTCTCTGTAAGTATTTTTAAAAGTCTTTTGTTTTCAGAGATATTCATCTATGTTCTTATTGTTCTTTGCCCTTCTCTCATTTGCTCACAGCTAGCTATGTTTAATGTGAGGGCAAAGGAGAGGAAAAGCAGTTTCAAGAAGAAGCAGAAGTGAAAGAGAAGCAAGCACTGAAACAATTTTTAGAGCTTAGAAAGTTGCCCTTTTGGACAAAATCTTCCAGAATTTCCCAACCAGTGGGGCCAACTCTTCTCTATTAGTTAGGATCACGTTAAAGATCGCGCAGCCTCTTTCTCGATATTCCACAGCAAGGCATATAAGAAATAACTAGTGACTTTGAAGCTTTGCAGAGGTTGTTTCTCAGCAGAGGCAACCTTTGAACTGAGCAGGTGGGTGCCTCACCCTGAAAATCTGGGGTGAGCTCCCCCAGCTTGGGCCATGAGCTGCCTTTGTCTCCCAGGAGATACCAGATATTAAGTGGAACTAAGAAATAAAGGGCAATCGATAGATGTTCATGCAGTAGTAATTATAATTAATTGATTATCATCTTAGAACTGCAGAGCTGGAAGGGGCCCTGTGGATTGAAGGGTCCAGCCCTTGTCAGGGAGGCATCGTGGGAGAATCCCAACCCAGGTCCCTAAACCACTGAGCTAGCCAGCAGTTCATCCTAGAGTATCTAGGCTGCAAAAACTATACAGTTACCTCTTGGCAAATCACATAGTTTGAGTCCATGATGCCAGCTCAGTGAGCATTTGATTTTTAAAAAATTATTAAAACATAGCAGACTAAGGGCCTTTCTCAAATTCCCATTTTGTGACTAAAGGGCAGGTTCTAACTATCTGTGCAAATGGAAATTATAGTCACTGGGTTATGGCCTCCTGTGTGGCACCAAGAGGTGTGCTGAATCGCTAACTTAATTGAAAAAGAGAGCAGTGAGGGATCTACAGAGTTTAAGTATTGCCAAAGGCAATTAGAGATTCAGGGATTCTATAGGAGAAAATAGACATGTGGAGGCTCTAGCCCCAGTTTCCCCTCATGGCTTTGCCTTTATCCCAAGATATGTTTAATTAAATTAAATGAAACTGTGTGCCACCCTAAGAGTGCTGTTACTGGAGGGCAGCTTGCAGAATGATTGAACTAAAATAAGGTTATCTAGCTGGGAAAAGATCATCATTGTGTCTTCCAACTTTGGAAAATCTTAACCTTAAAGTTAGATAACATTGGCTGAAATCTTCTTGCACAGTTATGCAAACAGCACAACCTTTAGAGGTGGATTGCTGTAAATTATGGACTCTCAGCAGATCCTATCTGTTGTATGTCAAATCACATGATATGAACTAAAATAAGGTTATCTAGCTGGGAAAAGATCATCATTGTGTCTTCCAACTTTGGAAAATCTTAACCTTAAAGTTAGATAACATTGGCTGAAATCTTCTTGCACAGTTATGCAAACAGCACAACCTTTAGAGGTGGATTGCTGTAAATTATGGACTCTCAGCAGATCCTATCTGTTGTATGTCAAATCACATGATATGCACACACACACACACCCCTACAGAGAGAGAGAGAGAGGTGGATTGCTGTAAATTATGGACTCTCTGCAGATCCTATCTGTTGTACGTCAAATCACATAATATGCACACACACACACACCCCTACAGAGAGAGAGAGAGCGAGAAGGAGAGAGGGAGAGAGTGAAGAAGAGACGGAGACGGAGATGGAGAGAAACAGAATGAAACCACTTAAATTATACTTCTGGGTTATGTTACTGAAGGAAATACTTGTTTAGATTAAAAAGCAAGCAGTTTATTAGCAGAACCATGGACAGTTGCTCAGAAGTCAGGAAGAACACTGTATTTTAAAAATGCACTAATGAGGTGGTATATAAATAAGTAAGTAACTAAGTAAGTAGGTAAGTACTTGTAAGCCGCCTAGAGTGGTCTATTCATGCAGATAGGCGGGATATAAATCAAATAAGTAAGTAAGTAAGTAAGTAAGTAAGTAAGTAAGTAAGTAAGTAAGTAAGTAAGTAAGTAAGTGAATGAACATGGCATCCCCAGTATATTAATTACGGATAAATAGTTCAGCAAGTGAAAGTGAAATAAAATAAACAAAAGAGAGAGAAAGTTATATCTGACTGATAGTTATTTTACTTTCACTGAATTTTGGAGAAGAACAATTGGCAAATCGCAATAAACAGAATAAAGATTTACTTGCCATTCCTCCAAGCATATGTTCAAGTTCTCACAGGAATGCTAGCTGCAGTAACTTCCCCAATTAGCAGGCCTTGCCAGTTGACCTTGGCCTGGCAGAACAATAGATGAACACAAGCACTCCCCTGGTAATGATCTCCAAAGTTGTCATGGCACAGACTCTGTTAAGATTGATCAATCAGCCCCAAAAAAGCAAAGGTGAATTCTTGACAAAGGATAATTGTTGAAACCCTCTTCAGATACACTGCTCTTTATTTCTCACGGATGAAGCTGTGACTGTGGAGATATTATATATGGAATGGATTTACTGCTATCTGTGAAAAGAGACACTGTTAGTTAAATAAATAAATAAATCAAGATTGAAACTGGGAAGATGACTCTGGCTCAGATTTAAGTCTAATCTGGAGACTTCAGAGGTTTTTTTTAATGATTGCTTCCCTCAAAGCTGTTTGTGGAGTTAAGCCTGGTGAAGACTTTTTGCCAGTGTCCCCTCAGTATGTCTGTTTTTTTTGTGCTGGGAAAAACTAGATGTAACGTAAGTTGAAAGAAGGTGCCCAATACACTTCTCCCTTGAATTGCATGGGTCTGAGCAGTACGGTTTTGGTGTACATGGATTCCCCCACCCCCATAAATAGCCTATAAATACTGTGCTGCTACATGTCTTCAGGAAGTGGCCTGAGAAAGGTGGATCTTGGAATTACTGACCTCTGATGTTGTTAGCATGGGAGTCCCTGGTCCTTCAGCAGTGGCCCAGCCAGCCCACTCTCCTGGCATGGGATCACCACATGGTGGCCGGAGAGAGTGTTGGGGCACGGTGGGAGGTCTCTCTGTGTGTCTGTATGTGTGTTAATAAAGGGTTTATGCTTTGTAGTTACATTTTTGGAAATATAAGAGTTATACACAGATTTGAACTATATGTGGGTTCAGCACCCCAACTCAAGTGTTGTTGAAGGGAGAAGTGTATATATCTTTGAGCTTCAGCTCATGGCGGAGGTGTTATGAATTGTGCCAAGTTAAATGAGACTATATTTTCCAGGTTTTTTGTGACAGAAATTAATATTGAAGGGGAAAATTAAACATCCAAAATGAGACAAAATGAAAGAGGGCATGCCTTTCAAAAATATATCAGCTCCCCTTTCTCTGACTATAATACCTGCCAGTCTTCTGTCAGCTTAAATTACTATCATCATCTACAGCAAACTCACTCTTTTCATTTTTACTGTACATTGGGGAAAGGGACTATAATTACAGCTAATTAACACTTATTGAGTTCCAGCAGTAGGTAAAGAAGTATATTGAACAATAGAATGACACAGAATGGTAGAATTATGAGCTGGAATCTTCTACATTTGTTTGTAGTCTTTCTACAGTTGTGGGTAGTGAACAGTTATTTGCAAGTAAAAATGTCTAGGAATAGTCTGCATGCCTAATTAGGTGGGAACTACAGGGATCTTTGAAGTTTCTTCCTTATTTATAGTTTGCAATCTTAAAAAAAATTTGGGATTTAGACTTGTTTCGTATGCTGCCTGCCCTAAATAACTACTCTCTCTGATGCTGCATTACATGCTTTGAAAGTTTTGTTGTAACTGTTATTTACATTGGACACATTTTTCTGATAAAGACAAGACATCTTCAAATTACAGTACAAAAAGAGTTAGAAAGCAAGGTCTGAAAACCTTTTGTTGAGCACAGTAAGTTGCAACTAGAATAGGCCCATTGAATTATTTAAAATTGCAAAGATGTTGACTCACCAAATCCCCACTAATTCAGTGAACCTACTCTAGTAGTGACTTACTATGCTAAGTGATCATATATCAGCCAATACAGAATATAATTCTCCTGGCTATATATAGATAATTGCTTTGTGTAAGTTCAGTATTTAAAAATCAGCCACTTACATCCCATCACATGCATGAAAGTAGAGAACTATCTCAACCTGGCAGCAAAAGAAATGTGCCAAAAATTTGCATGATAGTGCCAAGAACCAAAGAAATGGTGGAAGAAGAGTTCTTCTCCTGCTCACCACCATTCCCAATTGTTGAAAAATAGCCCTGACAATTGTTTTGTGTTTGAGTGAGAAGTGGTTAACTGATGAAAAAAGACATTAGCTTCTGGGATTTTCTCTTGTGCGGTGTCACTTTGTGAATGGGTGTGAGAAGCAGAGGGTATCCTATGGAGTAGACCATCTTGACTGCTGTCATTGGTGTTGTCAACATTCAGGCTGCCCTTGGCTATGTAAAGCGTAGCATCTTTTTTTCCTGCTGGCAATGATATTGTGTAGTTATTAGGCCATTTTCTAAGTTTTTGAATTGTGGGTACAGAAACGCAATATCCCACATTAATAAACTGCAGGGTTTTTTGGAAGAATTGAATCAACTTAGCTACCACTTTTGCACTAGTATTTTCTGAGCATCTTATCTTATCTTATACTTTCTTTCTTATCTTATACTTCCTATCTAGTGTTGTGCCACTACATTGGGCAGTTTCCAATGTAAGCTTGCCAACCACCCAACCCATAATAATATAAAAATGAAGCATTGTAGTAATCTAACACAGAGAGTTCTAGAATGTAGGACAGGGGTCAATGGTCCACGGCCTGGTGTCGGTCTGTGGCCTGGTCTGCGGAGACAAATCTCCCCCCCCGCACACACTCCTGTCCCCGACACAGCCCCTTTGTGCATGTGCGAGTGCCCCACACCTTTGTGAGTGCGTGAGTGCCCCCGGAGCACCCCCACCCTTCACACAGCCCCTTTGTGCATTCACGAGTGCCCCACACCTTAGTGAGTGTGCGTGAGTGTCCCCCGAGCACCCCCCACCCTTCACACGTGTGTGTGAGTGCTCATCCACTTCTTTGTGCATGCACACAAGTGCGCGCACCCGCACAAGTGAGCGCCCGCTCCTTCACGCATGCCTTCCCCATACAGTCTGTGGAGTTAACAAGGTTGGGGACCGCTGAGTAGGACACTTGAGCCTAGGTTATTGCTATACACATAGTGATGAAGTTGGGCCATCACAGAAGCCATTCTGTGCCAGTGAGGTTAACTAGGGTCACCTGTGCTTGAAAGGGGCAGTAGTAGTATTAGAAGTACCTGCCCAACTATGAGTTCAAGTTTTCATTGGTAATGTAACCCCATCTAGACAGGTTAAACTCTAATCATCCATTTGGAAAAAGCACCCATAATAGCACCTCAGGCTTGACTGGACTGGGTCTCAATTCATCCATTCACCCCTTGTGCCACTGTTGCATCCAGGCACTACTTCAGCTCATCCACCGTCTTACTTGCTGGAGATAAAAATGAAAAGTGAAGCTCCATCTTATCAATGTACTTATGGCAATGCACTCTTGAAGTGGATGGCTCTCCTCAGAGGTTTCATAAACATCTTACAGTAGCACAGGGTGTAAGAACAACAACTGTGGAATGTAAACTGAAGGGTCAACCTCTTCTGGAGCTGATATTTCAAGTAGGAGCAGATTTTTAGGGCACACTACAGCCTACTCCAAACTCAGACAGTTCCCCCCCCCCAAAAAAAATCTATGCCATAATCTGTAGTATCAAAAGATGCTGAAGAATCAAGGAGAGCCACCAGGATCATATTCCTCTGCCTTACTCCAGACATAAGCCATTTTGCAGGAGGATTGTGGTAGACTCTGTGCCAAAAACAGACTTGACATTTGACTGTAATGAAAATTAGATTCATGTGCTGTTGTTTAGAGCTGCAAAGATGTGTGCACTCCCCCCCCACACACACACTAAAGTTTACGATACAAATTGGGGATAAATTCTGATTAAAAATTTAAGAATCTGTACAGAAGCTGTGAATCTTCACAGGTTCTGTATAACAACATTGGGCTGAATGCATTCATTGGCGGGGGGGAGGGACTGGACCACTTTCCTTTCTTTGCAGCGTGCAGTAGCTGTGCATGGAATTCCACTTGTACAGTTTTATTTAATATTTTTATTTATTAATTTCTCCTTAAAAAGACCCAAAGCAGCTTTAAAAGTGTTCATCAGCCCAGCTCTTTTTCTCTTTAGATCTATGCATTTAATTTTGTTCAGAATTACCTTGACCTGTTCAGTGTTTACAGGTTTAGACACAAGGATCTACAGTATGACTTCAGATTTGTGATGTTGCTGTCACCATGGAAACATTATTTTAAACACTGTGGACAAGCCTACAGGGTGGAAACATTGAAACCTATTTATGTGTGGTTCTACCTCTGGGTCTTCCTGTGTATTTCATGAGTATTAATTACTCCATTGTATACTGTTATTGTGTGACTTCACGATATATATGATAGAAGAAGAGTTTGCTACCAGACACCAAAGCATATATAAAAATGGTGGATTTAGACATTTTTTATCATACAGATATTCATTATGGAAATATGTTGCTTTGCGTTACTTATACTATTTGTCAGTTCAAGTTTATTGTATTAGTTAAAAGCCGTCACAATTCTTTAAAATACAGATATAATCAAATAAAATCATGATAGAATCAAGGACATATAAAATAATAAGAGAACCTTCATATCTGAGAATCTCCCACACAATTGATTGCAATGGTTTTCAGAAAATTAGCTCAAATATTTCTGGCCGCTTTTGCGAACAGCGCTGTTCTATGTGTAACATAAGGGTCACAGTCCAAGAGTAACCTGACCACCTTTACCTGAGGGCTTTCCTCCTGCAGAGCAGCCAAAATGTTACCCAGGAGCTTTTCTCGGGGGTTCTGATATAGCTGATAGTAAAGTAGATACAGTAATGGAGAACATCCTCAATCTCACCTGCTCCGCAGATACACAGCCTTAGATGTTTAGGGACATTCATATACCTGCCATCTAAGACAGCGGTTGGCATGGTTTGGAAGCGGAGTTCTGTGAAAGCAGTTCTCAAGGAGGCAAAAGTAAATGTGTGTAAGTATTGCGCCCTTGAGTGGTTTGTTTTCAACAGATGGTACCAATGAGAAAAACCAGAAGAGTGGATTAAGGCCAGGTCTTGGTCCTTATCCAATTTATAGAGCCAATCCCTCAACATTCTTTTAACCCCAGAAAAAACAAAAATATCTCTAGAGAGGGATTTAGATTTTAGTAGGCCTTGAACTGAGGTTGCCCAGCCACCACTCTTCCATTGCTGTACCATGCAACGTTTAGGTAGACGTTGGTCGGGCATATCCATCACCCTCTTATAATAACAGAGTATAGCTAGCATTGACCTGGCTTTAATGGACACCATACCTATCTCTGTTCTGAGAAAAACTGCTGGGGTCCCCTGGGGTACCGCGAGGATGTGCCTCAAAAATTTGTTCTGTCCTACTTCAAGATGGTGAAGGTTGTTCTGATTCATACCCCAGATCTCAATTCCATAAAGCATTTGGGAGATGACCCTCCCTGAAAATACTTTTAAAGCTGGGGTTACAAGTTTGCCACCTTTAGAATGAAAAAATTTGACCAGAGCATGGCTAGATTTCTGAACTGATATTTTCCTGCTCTGTATCTGGGATTTCCAGCAGTTTTTCTCATCGAAATGCACTCCCAGGTATTTGAAGGTCTGGACTTGTTCTATTTTGTTTTTGCCTATAGTCCAGCTAACCTTGGGGGGATGCTTTCCAAAAATCATCACTTTAGATTTTGTGTAATTTATTTTTAGTTACTCTAGGTGGCTAAACTCTTGGAGCTTATTTAGGCTTCGTTTCAGTCCCTTTTTGTTCATGGATAATAGGACAATGTCATCAGCATATATGAGACTTGCAATCTTATAGTTCCCAATTGAGGGGGGGAAGTGGTCTGGATGGTTTAAAGCTGTTACAATATTATTAATATAAAAGTTTTACCCCTTTATTAGCATGAATTTCCTCTGTCAGCCTTCCATCTGTACTAATCCTTACGCTCAACGTTGTTTATTTTCCTCCATCCATTTACTCAGCTTCTGGGAAAGAAGGTGGGTATAAAGCTTGGAGCTGATGTCCAGTAAGCTGATTGGGCCATAATTCTGGGGGATGGATTTATCGCCTTTTTTGTAAATTGGTTACTTATACTAACTTTTTAGTATAAGTAACCAATCTACAAAAAAGGCTCTTGAGAGTCCCCTGGACTGCAAGGAGAACAAACCTATCAATTCTAAAGGAAATCAACCCTGAGTGCTCACTGGAAGGACAGATCCTGGAGCTGAGGCTCCAGTACTTTGGCCATCTCATGAGAAGAGAAGACTCCTTGGAAAAGACCTTGATGTTAGGAAAGTGTGATGGGAAGAGGAGAAGGGGACGACAGAGGATGAGATGGCTGGACAGTGTCTGTGAAGCAACCAACATGAATTTGACACAACTACAGGAGGCAGTGGAAGATAGGAGGGCCTGGTGTGCTCTGGTCCATGGGGTCACGAAGAGTTGGACACGACTAAACGACTAAACGGTGATGAACTTTTTAAAAAATTCACAATTTAGGATTCCTCTCAGCAAAACTACCATTCTTACTGAAAGGCTTTGGAGCTTCATGCCATAATATTTATACTGTGGTGTCCATTGCTTGTGTAATGTCATCGGCTGAGTTTTGCAACAACAGCAGTTGTGGTCATAGCAGCAGCAACAGAATGTTGCCCATTTGTTGAGTCCGTCCATTTATTCATTTTATCACCCACCTTTATCTTAATCTTGGGACTTCAGATGGTTTAAAAACATATAATTAAAAACTGAATATACTGTTATATTGAAACACAGTTCAACAGTGTTGTATGTTTGGAATGCAACTAAATTAAACAAAATTTAGAGCCTTGGTATGGAAATGCTTTCCATCCTGGAAGAATTAGGTAGTAGACCAGTTAGTGAGGCAAAGAGAAGTTTTGATTTAACAAAACCAGCAAGACAGACAAGGAAATATGATCATTTCATCTTCTATAGATGAACTTGATATATTGGCTGGTATTCCGACCCCCGTGTAAGACTGATGACATTATCAGCTGTAGTGATTTTTTTTGGGAATAAAATATTTCCAATTCTCTTCACCACCACCCACAGGTTCTGAACCACCAAGGTGCTTTTCTCAGTGGCAGGGATAAGAACTTGCCCCCTCAATGCAGTTGATTACATCATGAGTCTTACATGTAGCTTACATAACAGAATTTCAGCTTCTATTACATATTTCTGTGCTTTTAATGGAAATTCTGCTTCATGAGTCATATAATCTCCAAGGTGCCTATTGTTTATGAAAGTAACTGGTTCCTATTTTTATATTGCTTATGCATAGGAAACAACGTTATGAGGACCATTCATGGTGTGGGAGAAATGATGACTCAAATGGTTCTCAGCAGAGGTTCTATCTTTCCTATTTCTGTACCTGATGTCCCACAAAATGTCCATCCAAGCAAACAGGCCAGTATTGTTGAGAGTGAAGATGTCACTGTGATGGACACCAAGTTAAAAATCATTGAGATTTTACAGGTAATTTTTCCCTTCCAAATTTTTAAATCTGAGAAATCCACAATAAGTAACAATTGTTGTTACGGATTCTGCAATGTGGAGTTTTTTGGTGGCAAAGGAGAAACATGGAAGGAGAGTACTGTGGGGGAGCATAGAAGGGGAAGCGGGAACCCTTTAATATGAGCTTTATAGACATAACACCCTGAAGTGTAGTGTTTTTTCCCATGAAAGTTCATGATTGACTCACTGTTTGAGCTATAGGAAAGGGTTTTGACTTAACATGGAGATGAATAAAAAACAAATTGCTGCTGCCATTTGATGCACAATGTCCAGGCCTTATCCAGCAGGTTATTTTTGTTTTGCTAATTTTTAAATTCCTAAATGGCTTAGTATATGAATCTATCTGAAAAAGAGCCTTTTCTGATATATTTCTGCCTAGTTATTAAGATCATTTTAAACAGTCTTTTGTGGGGTCTGCTGCCTACCATGGTGTGCCAGGTGCTTAACTTAGAAAGAGCATTTTAGGAGTGATTGAGGAATTGCTTCCCAAGAGAACTCACCAGTCATCCTCATTAATATAGCATTCAGGTGCTTTGTGAAGAACTTCATTCTTCAGCTGGCATTCACAGCTTGATTTTTATCTTTGTGTTTCATTTTGTTGTTCATCTTTGTTGCTGACATCTAGCATTCTAATATTTTTACAAGATGAGACCATTTCAGATCATTTGTTTTTAACTGCAAAGTTTGTGATTTGATGGGCTGGTTTTGTTTCATAAACCTCTCTGAGGGCTTTGCCAGTTCAGTGATACAGCAACAGTTAAATAAATATTGCAGTATTGGTAAGATAATATTTTTAAAACATGTCAAATTAAATAATTACTTGTGAAAAGTAAAAAGACTGAAGCATTTCAGTAAACATTTTCTATTAAATATGTCTCAGTGTTGTTGTGGGTTTTCCGGGCTGTTTGGCCGTGTTCTTAAGGTTTTTCTTCCTAACGTTTCGCCAGTCTCTGTGGCCGGCATCTTCAGAGGACAGGAGTAAGAACTCTGTTTGTGCTCTGGTGCAGTTTGTTGGATAGTTGAGTATTTATAGCTATGGAATCAGCTTTTGTCCTTTTCTGGAGACTGGGTGATTATGGTGATCAGCATGTTTTTTGATGTGGGTGTATTGTTGTGATAAGGAGGAGAGATGATCTTTCACTGTGATTGATGGGTGTTGTTAACTGGTCTTTTGTGTGCATTGATCACTGGTCCTTGTGTGTCAGTGTGTCAATAATTTTGCTTGCAAGGAGAAAGGTGGGGTAATTTTTTAAAAATAAATAATAAATAAATAATAAAATTTTGACCCCCCCAAATGTTCTGAAAATCCTCAAAAATGCTCAAGGTATGTCATTCTTTTTCCTTGTAGTTTATTCTTAGTGTTCGGCTTGACTACAGAATATCCTACATGCTATCTATTTACAAGAAGGAATTTGGAGAGACTGGTGAAAATGCTGATAGTTCTGTATCTTCTCCACCTGAGTCACCATCTGTCACCTCAGGTATGCTTGCTAAAACAGAATAATTCAAAACAGCAAAGATAATTGTCAAAGTTAAGTGCTGAAATCAAACATGAATGTAGATTTACCTTCTAGTTTAAACATTTTCAGAAACTTGAAGTTGCGACTATTAATGTTGTGAGAGGAACTCTCAAATTGTTCTGGCTACTTGAAGTGTGGAAAATGCACGTGTGCATCGTGAGATTCTTATATCGACTCTCGGACTCTTTCCCACAATTGTACTGAGAATGCATTAGGTGTCAGAGTTATCTGAACATGAAATTTCTCTGGTTCTTTAAAGCAAAGTCAGGTAATAGAAGCAGTGAGATCCTGTGATGGAATAAAGCCAATTTTTTTTGAGTCCATTGATTATGGTTGTATAATGGTTAGGACTCCCCTTCAGAGCCTAGTGTCCTCTAGATATATTTAACCATCATCTTGATAATTGCTAGCCATCATGGCCACATACTGTGCATGATGAAGGGAGGAGGTGTACCACACATGCAAGTCTCAGATTGAGATTGAGTATTTTTATCATCACCATCATCAAGGTTATTCAGAGAATGCACTATAGCTGGCCTGGATTGCTTACCTAACATGCCATATAGTGGCCCATCTGTTATGGAATGCTTATTATTTGTCTGTGCCACAGTCAGGCCTCATGACATATCATGCTGAAAAGAATTAGATGAGCAAAATTTTATCTTTGGCCATGAGTTAATAGCCTTGTTGACCCTAATGTATTTATTTGTGTAGCACTGACTCCATCACAATCTCTTTTGTGTTCTGTTTTTAGCAGTTGTTCCAGACATAAATGAAATTGCTGCTCAAGCAGAAACTATGTTTGCAGGCAGGTAAGCCCAGAAGTCAGTCTCCTCCATCCATTGTACACTTCACCAACCTTTTTATCCTTATGCTCTGTAGTGCCAGCCAACACTTCCTATGTACTCTTTGCACTTTCTTCTGCAACCGTGGTACTGCTACTACTTCTCAAGAGAAGAACTTTTAATTTGCACAGTCTTCTACTAACCTTTTGTGACTCTATGAAGCCACCCACCCTGGTGTCCTTGGGGTCTCCTGCCAAAAATTCCATCAGCTCCAGGTTGCTAGTAAGAGTGCTCCTTATCGGGCCAGGTACTTTCAAGAGCAGTTCCCTGTCACCACCTTCCTGCACCCTAGGGGGCTGAGTTTCCTGCACTAGACCCATGGAAACAATCAGTTCAGTACTGGCCTCTTTTCTTGTCACTGAGACTAGTGAAGTCCTGGTAACAAACAAACATGGAGCTCTTTAGTGAAGGTCAGTAATGGCAGCTGATGAGTTTTGGCTCTTCTCTTGCTTCTTGAGGAGTCTCCTTCTCCTCTTGCACTGGTGTTTGTGACACTAGTGCCTTAGCTGGGCAGGGGTGGGTATTAATAATTGTACTAGATGGGGAAAATAGGTTCGCTAGCTTCTTTTGTGCATCTTTCAAGAAATCTGGCATGTATTCTTTAGTGCATAGGCCTTCTAAGATGGGAGATCCTAAAGTAAGTGACAAACTATTTTATTTTATTTATTTATTCTATTTATATCCCGCCTATCTGGCCGATATGACTAGGTGGTGATGCTTGGTTTTGTTCTGAGTTAGCAGTTGTCTGACCTCATCAACCTCTAGTATCATAACATAAGGTCCTGGGGAAAAAAATCACAGAGGCTGGAGATCTATAGTTAAACCTAGTGAGGTAGAAAGGTTCCAAAGCAGTTCTGAGGGAGGGAAGAAAGTCTCTGGAGCTCCAAACATGCCTAACAAGTTGCTGAGACTGAAGAACCAATCTTGACGCAGCAGTTAAATGAGGTCAGTTGAAATCCCACCTCTGTGACTTAGGAGCCTGGACTCTACAGCCTTGTTTCTCAGTTTCAGCTTTGTGGCATGTTACACTTTCAATAGATAAGCCTATTTCTTCAATTAGCACATTGTCTCTTTTACAAGAAGGAAAAGTGGTCAAGGCTCCAGAGTTCATATGATAGGAAGAGTTTTCCCAGGAACAAATTGACTGAATAGTTCTCTGTTTATTGCCTCGTTGTCACTGGAGTCTTTATCTTGCTTTGTTTTTGTGTAGAAAAGAAAAAAATGCAGTACAGCTGGATGATGAAGGGGGCAGGACATTTTTGCGAGTCCTCATTCATCTTATTATGCACGACTACCCGCCTTTGCTTTCAGGAGCCCTACACTTACTGTTTAAACACTTCAGCCAAAGAGCAGAGGTCCTGCAAGCATTTAAACAGGTACAACCTCAAGAATGTTTTTTTTTAAAAAAAATACCTGCTGTTCATCCACCTACTTCTCAGTTGCTAGCCTTTTATATCCATAAGGCTTTCTCTTAAAGATACAATTTTAATCAGAATGTTGAGATATTGCTGTTATCTGAGGTTCTTTGAGGTCTGGCTCAATGTTACATTTTTCCCCAGTTGAGAAAAGTACAGGGATGTTTGCATCCCTCCTTCCCTTTTCCCTCTTTGAACTGGGCTAGGCCACGTATATGAAATGTAAACTTTTCCCCCCTCTTTCCCCACATTTATAAAAAACAGAAGGAAACCTTCTGTTTAGCATTTGACAGTTGGTGCATAATGACCTTCCACCAGCTATTAAAAATGAAGCTATGCTGATCGGGCGAATAAACAGTGGCAGTTCCTTGTTAAATGACAGCTGAATATTTGGATGGTTAACATGTTTTGTGTGGGAAAGGCACTGCTAACTGGGGAATAAACTGAACTGTCCAGAGATAAAGATGGAAAATGATTGTATACCCAGGGCTCTGTGTGTGTGTGTATGTGTGTGTGTGTGTGTGTGTGTGTGTGTGTGTGTGTGTGCGCGTTTGTGTGCGTGCGCGCGCGCTTGTGTGCATGCGTGTGCACACACATGTGCATCTCATAAATGCATACTCCCCCACATATATTATGATTCCTGTGAATTCAGGAAAAAGGAAACTCTGAAAATAACAATGGCCATAGACCTTAATTTCTTAAAATCTTAGAAATAAACTGAGTTTTTGTATCAAGTGTAACAGGATTGCTGGGACTTCTAGTAAGTCAACAGTTATGTAAGTCTCATTGATTTAGTGGATCTACTTTAGATGGGATTAGCAGTTGGAGAGAGAGTTTTTGCTTCTTTTAAGAGCACCTTTCTTGCTTTTGTGTTTGCAAAAATATTCTTGATTAGCTCAGCCTCTGTAGTGTAGGAGGCTTTCAAACAAAGCCTGATGAAATTTTGGGTTTGTTGAACAAAATTTTCAGCAATCAAAGGGAACTGACTTCTCTCTATATATTCCTGCTCTCATTTATACTATCAGAAATAGAATCAGTTATGCAACATGGAAAAATTTAACATAGAATAGATTTTGAGAAATAAGCCACATGATATGACTTTGGATATTTTGTATGGGAAAAATAGTCTGTTCACATCAGAACATTTGACTTACTTCAGTACATTAACAAAATTGAATTGTGAAGACATGCCAATTCTGTAATAAGATAAGGAACTACACTATTAGAGAGAATCAGCCTTCAGTGGCAAAGTCACTGACATCTTATTTGTGAGTCGTGCATCCCTCTCTTTTTGTATCCTCTAAATCAGCCATTCTCAAGAAAAGGGCCATCTGGCCCCCTGGGGGGGCCTGGGACCTTTGAAGGGGGCCACAGACTGGAAGCAATTTTTCACACACCACCTTATAAGGTTTGTTATGCAACTTATGCAGTCTTGATTTGGCCTATATTTCTTTCATATTGTGTTTATGGGTGTGGCCAAAAAAGGTAGCCCTTCGCATTAGAGAGGTATTTGCTGTCATGATTTTTTTTAAAAAAATATTTATTAAGAGAGAGAAACAGAGAAAAAGACTTAATTGACTGGAGGGAAGGCCTTCTTGAATAACCAAGTTTTTAACTGGCTTTTAAAAACACCCAGCGAGGGTGCCAGCCGAATTTCTGTTGGGAATTTCTTTCCAAGAATGGCATTTTAGATTTGTGACTGGAAAATGAATGAAATGCAAGTTAATCTTTGGAAAATAGGCCCATACGTTAAGGAAAAATCAGTTTTAAGGATCATAAAAGAAATATAAATATATTTCTGCAAAATAAGTTTAGGAGAGGAATGGCAATTTCTGTCACATGAAAGGCAATTGAGAGACAGGGAAATAAGTGTTTTCCAGCTATTGGATGAATTTTTCAAAGACCATTTAAAATCTTTTGAGAATTGATTTTCAAATTTCCCATACCAGCACCACCAGCATCAGATTGTATGAGAATATGTTGCTCACTTTGTTCCTGTTGTTGCCTGATATGTAAGATGCCTCTTTTCCAGGATTTTTCTGATAAGTTTCCAATTCTAATTAAAATTCCAAAATCATAACTTTTCATACTGCCTTTAAGTCTTGGGATGTGTGTTTTACATCAGTGTCACATTTTCTTCTTTGTAAAGCACCGGTTAAACATACTTTACAAGACTCTTTGGACCACATTCAGGATCTTTATTTTTTGACTTCCTGCAGAATCAGTACATATATTTTGCTATAAATTATCAAGTGTTGTAATTGACCAATGTGTAATCCAGTAATATGCAGGCATGTGTCAACTTTATGATTTCTTTTGCTTTCAGTTAGACAAATTCTGTTTTCTTTCATTAATGTCCATCATACTGTTAAAATGTGGAAGTTTTGTGACCCATTTAAAACAGGGATGGACGAATGCAGTTCTCTCCATGTTTTCAGGCTGCAGCTCCTAGCATTCCTCATCACTGGCTATGTTTGTAGTCCAACAATGTCTGGTGGACCACCTTCTAAACAACTAAATCAGACACCTCAATGGAAACATGAACCAAAGCGCAGCACTCATGATGTCTGCTGTTAATGCAGTATAACATTTTTAAAATTCTGGGTTCTTCCAGGTTCAGTTGCTGGTGTCTAATCAAGATGTGGACAACTACAAACAAATTAAAGCTGATCTTGATCAGCTGAGGCTTACTGTAGAAAAATCTGAACTTTGGGTGGAAAAGAGCAGCAATTATGAGAGTGGCGATCTAGGTGAAAGCCAGACAAAAGGAAACGATGAGCCCAATGAGGTATGTCTCGGTTTTGATTTCAGTAGATTGTTTTAGTATTAACAACACTGGTTGCAGAATATTCAATTGATGTTTGCCTACCACTTTTTCACAAAGTGTGTAGAAAGCAGTTCACATGGTAAGGCTGTGCCAAAGTTGAAACGTTCCTACAACATCTCTTACAGCTGTCAATAAAGTTTCCACTGATTTTCTTTGAGTTCTTATAGAATTTACTGGGAATCTAATACAGATCAAATGGTTTTCAATGCATTCCTATGGGAAATGCAGATTTGACCTGAGAACTTTTTGACTTGAGAACCGCCTTCCAATACGGATTAAGTTCTCAAGTCAAGACCCCACTGTAAAGTTTCCACTGATTTTCTTTGAGTTCCTATAGAATTTACTGGGAATATGGTATTAGTGTTCTTGGTTCCCAGAACTCTTGAAGGAGGGATATTATTGGAGTTACTGGGTGAAGAATGCAAAGTTCTCTCTGTCTTTTTGCTGTTTTTTTCTGGCTACAAGAGAGTAGACCTTTTGCTCTGGATGTATGTTGGTAAGAGCTCCAGGTGCAGATAACAGAAGCTTTCACTTCTTTTTACCTGGCCAGAGGTTACCAGTGGCATATGATTAAAAAATAAATCAAAGGGTTATTGAGATGAGGTGCTAAAGCAGTGACATCCAATGACAAATGATTTATAAAAATAACTATTGGCTCTTGAACTGGAGAGACGTGGGGTTGCAATTTTGTTCAGCCATAAAGCTCACTGGAGTCACTTCCCTTACTGTGAGGATAAAGTAGGATAGCCATAGTTGAACAATATTGATGGAAGGTGGAGCCTTAATATGGGTTTCAATGCAGTTTTGACTTTGTTGGTTAGCTGTTACAACTACGGTTCTTCTGTTTCAGGATTTACTTGAGATAAGACATGAAGGATAATTACATGTATATATGGGAAGTAACTTGTTTTGGGGAGAAGAAGTTATTGAATCTGAACATTGATGTAATAATCCACCCACCTTCATAAAACAAAAGGTCCCTTACTGATTGTGATGTACTATTGGTGTCTCAGAATTAAAAAAACAAAGAAATCTCTTGCAGTGTTTTATGGATAAAAATACTGTAGTGAAAATCAGTTCACTGCATGAAAAACCCAAAGTAGATGCAGCACTGATGGAAAAACGAGCACAAATCTCCTATCTACACTACTGCAGATATGGAGCACAGCCTGTATTATATTTCACTGGAAAAGCTTGGGAAAATGTGTGGTGTGTATTCTGCTGCGTCACTGTTAATCTGTAAAGAGCCATCAGTGCCTTCTGGGTAGATCTGGAAAATACTTTTTCTGTAGAAGTGTACAATTAATGCATATGTCGTGTGTCTCCTTCCTTTATTTTCTTTGTAACCCAAAGGGCAAATGGTGGTCTCAAGGCACTGGAACAAAAAGGAATACCAGGCTGGAATTAAAATGCCCTTGTTTTTCATGAGGTAACCCTCTAGGGAACTGGCTAGATAGCCCAGAGGGTTAAGTGTCTGGTTGCAAGCCAGATGTTGGGAGTTTGATTCCCTACTGTGCCTTTCAGGAGAAGAGCGAGCCTGTGTGGCCTTGGGCAAGCTGCACAGTCCCAGGGTGTCCCCAGAAGAAGGGAATGATAAACCACTTCTTTATATTTTCAGTCTAGAAAATCATGGAAAAGGTTGCCATAAATCAGAATCGACTCTATTACACGCACACAAGCCTCTAAGGTGCATAATAGTATTTACGTGATTTATAAAAGTGTGTTGATTTTTAGTCTTTTGAGATTTAGACTGGCTTGGGAATGCCATATGTGCTAATATAGATAGTTCCAGTTTTGGTGGGTGTGGAGAAAAGATTCAACAAACCTATTCACCATATATCCAAATGCAGTCTCCACATTCACAGTCAGGTAACAAGGGAAGCAAATGTTTTGCTCATAGCTTGGAAGTGTTACATTTTTTTGGATTATAACTCTTAGTCTCCCTTCAGAGATGGCCATGGGAATTCTGGGAATTATATTCCACAGAGCCAATTTTTCCCAGCGTCTCTTTTGAGATAGGGCAACATAGGTAAAGGCACTAAAATTTTATGAGTAGAGACAGAAAACTCACTGCAGAGCAGCTGGTTGTAACTGCAGTTCTGATGCCAAGCCTAACATCTATTTTTGCCCCAAGTTTTCTGGGGCTCCTCAAGAAAAGAAAGAACAGCGAGTAACGTCTGCTGTGGTGCTTCTTGTTAAAAAGAGCTGCACAATTACTGCTGCCTATTAAGTTTTGTTCCTAAAAGCAGCAGGCATCTATCTCAGAAGCTCAGGGGAGAAGCACAAGGGATTCTTTCAGCAGGAGGATTCTGTAGAACTAGGGTAGAAGGTTTTATGCATTGTGTCTGTTTTATCAATAGGCAACCATTTGATATATGTCTTGTTCTTAAGAATGTGGATCTCCCAGCAGAATTTAAATTGTCCCCTTGCTAGGAAGGACAAGGTAGAGCAATTCATTGGGAAATTCTGGTCTACCACCAGAGGTTTAAGTTAAAATAAATTTATTATTTATTTTATTTGGATTTTTATTTATTTATTTATTATTTATTTTATTTATTTTATTTATATCCCTCCTATCTGGTCGGATCAGGACCACTCTAGGTGGCTAACAACATAAATAGTACAATAAAATTGATATATAAAGCAATTATTAAATAATAGAACATTACACAAATTGGGAGGAACAATAAGAGAGGGGGAAAAAGGTCATCATATCACATGTGTGAATTCAGTTACATAGTGCCAAGCTGTTTGTTAGTGAACAGCCAGTGTGAATGACACAACTTCCCTGCCGCTATTTTTCTGCATTTCCTTGCCTTCTGACTTCAGTGTCCAGAGTTTCACCCCCAACCCTGCAAACTGTATCTGTAGCTGAAATTCTGGTGTCACTCAGTGCATCTGATAATGTGACTGTAGTCCATAATGCCTCATGCTACAATACACATGTTAGCTCTTAATGTGATGAGATGCTGTTGTTTGTTCTTAGGAGACAGAAGAATTTTTTTTTAAAAAATGGTGGCACCTTACGGAGTAACAAGTTTAATTTGACATAACTTTTCATGGAATGTAGTCCACTTCATCAGCTCCATCTGAAGGAAGTGAACGGAAGTCCATGGAAGCTTATTGCCAGATATAACTGGCTAGTTAGTCTCTAAGGTGCCATGCAGTCTTCATTATTTTTGCTGCGACTGACTAACATAGCTACTACCACCATCCTGGAAATGAAGATAGAGGGTTCGTTGTGTATTCTTCTAGCATGATTTGAGGAAAATCCGCTTTCATTTCAGGTGATATGGGGGCTTCTAGGTTGAGCCTGAAACTTGTTCATGCCAGAGTGACTCCTGCACTGTGTGAGCAGGGCCTTGTGCATGACAAGTACTGGGATGAGTGGCTGAAGCCTACATGGAGAGGTTTTGCACCCAATTTGTTACTGTCTGAGGATGAAGGGGCCAACTGGAGCCCAGTTTCATTTCTCTATGGTAGGCAGGGGCACATTTTCAAGAAATCTTTTAGATGGTAGGGTTTCTTGTAACATTTATTTTAATAGAAAGAAAAGAAATGGCTACATAAAGAAAAACATGGTCAGTGAGAGAGGAAAAAAAGGGGGGGAAATAGAGAGGGGGCATTAGTACCCGGTCATCCACAAGTAAGAATGTATGCAAAGGGCCCCATGGCACCGACAAAAAGTCCACTTGCACATGGGAAATTTTCAAACTTGAGCCTTTTACTCCCATATTTACAAATACAAGGGCAGGTTTGGGACTTCATTGTGAGACACACCCTCTTTGTGCTTTATACCTCTAGTCCAATTAGTTTAATATGGGAGCAGTTTGCACCATCTATAACTGCACCTTATAACTGCACCTAAAGTCACCTTGAGTTCTCACAATTAGTTTAATATGGGAGCAGTTTGCACCACCCTCCTATAACTGCACCTTAAGTCACCTTGAGTTCTCACCCATTTGAGATCCATGCTTTGGACCTCTGCTCCAAGACTTAGCTGGTTGGGTCCAGGCCACTTGCCTGTTGCCTAAGCCATTCAAGCTGCCTCTTCCTCCTATAGCATTGCATCTGCATGAGAGTGAGATGTGGCAGAGAACCCCCAGGCTTTTGTTTCAGCTGGTGGCCAAGATGAATGGATGACATTGTAAAGGGCCAACCTCGTATTGCATAGACAGACTACAAGATGGTCAATTCTAGAGCATCTACCTAAGTTATCCTCCTTTTTGGATTTGATTATTGAGCCCCCAGCCAGTGCCATCCCTGCATCTTCCTCCTTTTAAGCTCTCCACCCTGCCCTGATAATCTCCTCCCATGTGCCTCTCATTACCAAGGAGCCACCTCTGTTGCTAGGCTTTCCTATCAACCTGAGTTTCCCTTGAATGGCCCTTATTACTGTTAGTGGGTGGTCTTTCTTCCAGAGCACCTGTCACAGGTAGACATGGAGGTACCAGGAAGGGGTCTTTTTTGAGTGTGATCCCATGCTAACAAGGCTTCTCCTTTTTGACCGGTGCCTCTTGGTACCAGTACCTTGATGGTCACTGTTCTGGGTGGCATGGAAGGTGGTTCGGGCACTGTCTCCTCCTCAGTTCCACCCACAGGTGAAAAGAAATGATGAGAAAGAACAGAGAAGAGAGGAAGGAAGCAAAGGCACCTGTTTAAAGAAACGGGGGAGTAGAGAGAGAAGGCTTTCATTTACTATTTGTATAAGACTGTAAACACTAAAAGATATTGATAGAGCCATTTCTCTCTTTCTTCATTGATATGGCATCTTTTTGAAAAGCTATCCCATAATATTGAAAATCTACCTTTATTCAGAATGTCTGAGTTTAAATGCTTTATAGAACAACATTGGAGAGGAGTGTCTGCTATGCAAAGAGTTGGCTTCCTGGGGTTCTTTCCCGCATGCCAGTATGTCTCTCTGGTTTCTCATTTGTCCCATGCTGTCTTGTGTCCTTTGGGCCCACCATTTGACAATTTATGCCCGAAATTGCTCTTAGTGGATGGGATTGTACTGTTGACACTCAAGCTCATATTCTCTGCTGTTGGTGCAAGATTGTCTACAGCTGTTGGACCTAATTTCCATAACTGAAGTACTGCACTCTTCTGGCTCCTATACAGTTTTAAAAATGTAATCGTTCATCTCTCTCTTCTTCCTTCCCTTTCCCTCCCACTCACTCTCTCTCTCTCTCTAAATTACAGGAATCAAATATATTAAGTCCAGTCCAGGATGGGAGTAAGAAGCCTCAGATTGACAGCAATAAGAGTAACAACTACAATATTGTTATGGAGGTATCCTGCTAAAATGTTTCTATGTCTTCGTTAGGTGTTCATTATTATAATGTTGTACATTTACTTTCACATTTCGGTAATGCACATTCTTTTTTCCTTATCACCAGATTTTGAACCGCTTATGCAAACTCTGTGTCCAGAACAAAAAATGTCGAAATCAACAACAACGATTGCTGAAAAATATGGGTGCCCACAGTGTGGTGTTAGATCTTCTGCAGATACCTTATGAGAAGGTAATCAATGAATAGTTATGGTGATTATAATGAATTAGGATAATTACGTCATAATAGGCATGTTTCCCCAAGACCAGATTTCACTGAAATTAACAGGAACAGTCCCTGTTATTTGCTGCATGTGTTTATAAACAAAAAGCTCCTTATGATTGTGGGTCCCCAAATGTTATTCAACTGCAACTCCCAGAACCCCTCATCCTTGGACATGTCTGGGCATTTTAGTGTTGACTTTTAGTACTATCTGGGGACCTGAGGTTGGCTGAGAATACTGGTTTAAGTCTCTCTGAGTCATTTAGCAGAGGTATCTGAAATGGTGAAATGTTAAGTACCATAGTTAATACTTGTTAGATGTACTGTACTGTCTGTAACTGAAGAAATAGAACAGGATTGGTAGACAAGATTCTGAAGCTACAGCTAAGAAATACATAAAGCAAGTTGGTTTCACTCTCAGCAAAAAACTCAAAAGGTTTGATCCAGATTTAGATGGATACAGCTAGGTTGGGAGAAGTGGAATTGTTTGTCCCTGGTACAGTATATCACTGAAGTGAGTTCACCCCCTCACACTTCATAAATATTTTAGTATATCTTTTCATGTAACAACACTGAAGAAATGACACTTGACTACTGTCACATACAGCACTGATGGTACCTGTCTGTCAGGGGTTTGGAGGGAAAGTTCCATCCTATGGGGAGTG